TAGTTCACTGCAGCTGTGCCGTGAATCTTACCTTCTACATTGCTGTGTGAGTGGGTGAGCCTAAGGGGGTGAGTGCTGTTGAGGGACGGATGGTTGCTCCGTCCACCTCAGATGCTTTTCCCTAGCGCTTAACTATGAGGCAGGATCAGCTGTCCCCGTGCCATGTGTGACAGAGCTGCTTGGTTGAGAGAAGACCCCTAGGAACGTATCTCCAGTAGCCTGCCTGGGCAGTCCGTTCCAGAGCTTCATTTGTCTTAGCCGTTTTGTGAGAAGGCAGGAACCCTTCCAACTTTTTTTTTTCTCAATGTAACTGAAGCTCATTGTGTCTTACTCTTTATGCCGAGCAAAAGTTCATTCCTTTCCTCCATAGCCTTGTATCTGCTTGAAGACTATTACACCATTGCCACCCGTGGTGTTGTCCAGACTAAAACGTCTGGATTTGTTCCATCTTTCTCGGAGACCATTTTTCTGTCTTTTTGGTAGTTTTCACTGTTCCCTTCTGAATCTTTCCTGTTTGTTCATTCCTATAATTGTAGCTTCTAGCTGTGATGCTGCTTCTAGATGAAGCCTTACTAATATGAAGGAGAGCGTAAGGGCTGTTGCCCATGTCTTGTGAGCTAGGCTGATGTTTTGCATATAGCTCACTAAAGCCCTTATGTCTCTTTCAGAAATGCTGTCTAGCTTGTACCTTTTGCTGTGTTTGTGCCTCGGATAATTTCTGCTGCCATATAACATTTTGCATTTTTCCATATTTAAATATGCTCTTACTGAAATGCAATTTTCTCAACTTTATCCAGTTGTCAGAAGCCCTTAGATTTCTTATCTGGTCCTTCAAGATATTGAACATCTTTGTATCACCCACATATTAAATACAACGCACTTCCTCTTTCACTTGCTTTGCTATATGGGTCAGTTGAACAGAACTGCATCTTTTGGGGTGGTCAGACCCTTCAATTCTAGTAGCAAACTTTTGGTAACTAGCCCATGTAAGAGGGGTATTAGCAGTATCCTCCTAATGTGGTTACTCTGAGGACCCCAGGAATGGGTGGCAAGTATTGCCCAGTAGTTAAGCATTTCCCTTGATCTGAACCCTTCTGCTTG